GTTCCATTTAGCTTAAGTATCTCTACTTCAGTTAGATTTGTGTTTAGCACATTTTCACATGAACATTCATTGTAACATCATCTCAGTGAGGCCTGAATCATTGTTATTCTATTTTCTGATTCATTATACTAGTTAACTTAAACAGATTTACAACTAATTAACAATCAGTAAAACCACTTATAAATGATGGTTCCGTGTTTGACAGTTACAATCTTTTTTCTCTCCTTCTCCTCTTACCTCTTACATGAATCCCATCATGCTTTCTCTTTCTCTGTAACCTTTTACACAGATAAACTAGGGCAAAGGTTGAATCATTCATTACTATGATTTACTCATCCACATACTGTACTTCATTCTACATTTCTATGGATTCATTTACATGCTTCATTGTAGCCTCTATATGCTTTCCTATATATAATTCTAGATGTTTTATTCCACTTTTTGTTTAAAGTGTGGTGAGGACATATCCTGATTAACAATGACTCCAAGATTTCCAAGAGTTAAATAGGAGAAAATTCACAAACAGGACCTGAAAAATATATGAGTCCCTTCAGCTGACCCACTTTTTACTATTGTGTCATCAAAAATGTTCTTGGTGGAAAGGTGGTTGACAAGAAACCATCCTTAAACAGGAGGAAATAGCTGGAGTCTGTATGTATCTATAGTAAAAGGTTTCATGGACTGATGAATCCAGATTGTACATTTTTGGTTCAAATTGTTCTATATTAGGACACACACACACACACACACACACACACACACACACACACACACACACACACACACAGATAAGCAGAAGAGATGTGTGAATCTAACAACAATTTATGACTGTGTGTATAGCTCTGCTTCAACACTGGCTGAGTGTTCTCCTTTCTAACTTTGCAGTGTCTTTATGTTGCAGTGTAAATGCCTTGAGCCAAGTGGCATCACAGCTTTAATGAATATAATATAATTGAATTAAATGTAATTTTTTATTATAATCTTTCTAAAATGGACCATGTTGCTGTAAATCTTTGGCTTTACAAAGAATTTATGGTTTATGTCACACTCAATAAGTTGCATTTATAGCCAGTGCTCATGTCAGTATAGAAGTAAATTTTATTTTTAAAATGGTAAAATATGCCTTTGATATAATCACAGTGAAATTTAGAACAGCCATCACTGCGAGGAAAAACATGATGCCATCACCCACTATGACCAAATCACTCACTCTTCCGCTTCATCACTTTCATTGCTCATCTGTTGTGATCATCTGAATATGTTTTTGAAGTCACTTGAGTCGCTGCTTCACTCACGCCTCCTTCCCCCATCTCCCCATCCAACTCTGACTACCCTCCCCATCTACCTACCACCTCGTCCCCTCATCATCTCTGCTCTCTAACTGTGTACAACACTATACAGGGGGCTCATGGGTTAGACGGCAGACCAGGTGCAGTGGTGAGTGGTGCAAGTCACATTCCAATCCCTTTCTCTTTCTCCTCTTCTTCCTCCCTTCTACTCCCAACTATTGCCTGCTTGATGTCCTTAATGCCTGCTTGTTGTATACTGTGTGCTTGCTTTGTTGCTACCCATGCTTGTCTTAATATTTTTCATTCTAAAGAAACTCTGTGAGGACAGGAGTGCACAGAGTTGGGTTTGGAGGATACAGTGGCACTGAGAACGTATTATCTATATGGTGATATATGGGAAGTAATTATTTGATCCCCTGCTGAATTTCTAATTTTGCTCACACTAATAAATGAACAGTCTCTTTTATTAAGACAATAAACAATAAACATATATATGTAGCTAGATATATATGACTAATGATAGATAGTGCTGTGATTGGATGTTAATCTCCCTGCAGACCACATGACCATAAAATATGGCAGATGCCACCACAGAGTTACAGAAGGTCTTCGGGAGTTCCCTTGCAATCCAAAAGACTGGAGTCTTCAGATACAGCCTACTTTGTCAGTTTATTGGTCAGGTCAACACCCAAGTACTCATAAGAGTCCACTGTCTTAATCTTAATCCCTGGATGTTCATTGCTATAGGTGTAAGATGTTTCTGCCTGCGAAGGCCCATCTCCAGCACAAACTGGAGGTGGTTTTCCCAGTGTTGAAAAGACAGTTTTGCTGCATCAGCCAAAACAGTCCCCATCAGTTCTCTTTACTCTCAGTCATCAGAGAATTCTTGCTGGAAGTAATTGACCGAGTTTTAAGAGACATCTGTGCTGTATTGGGTGTGTGGGGTGCCTGTACAGACACACATGTCTGAAATCCTACGTACTGATGGACGCTGGTGAGATAGTTCAGGATCCATGTAGTGAGATGATGGTCCACACCTGTATACTCCAGCTAGTCTCTGCGAGTGTGGTCAGGGCAGGAGTGGTTTTCAAAGCACTGGAGAAATCAAAGAACATGATTCTCACAGGTTTCCCAGCCCTTTCCAGGTGAGCAAGTCGGTTGTCGGTTTCTTCCTCTTGAAAGGGAGTTTTTCCTTCCCACTGTTGCCAAAATGCTTGTTCACAGGGTGTCATCTGATGGTTGGGGTGACTCTGTGTAGGGTCTTGCATTATTAAGCATGCTGAGTCAAGTGTTGTTGTGATTTGGTGCTATATAAATAGCACCAAACCAAGGGCAGCACGGTGGTTAGCACTGTTGCCGCACAGCAAGAAGGTCCTGAGTTCAATTCCAACATCAGACCGGGGTCTTTCTGTGTGGAGTTTGCATGTTCTCCCCGTGTTTGCGTGGGTTCCCTCCGGGTACTCCGGCTTCCTCCCACCGTCCAAAGACATGCAGCTTGTGGGGATAGGTTGATTGGATAATCCAAATTGTCACTAGGTGTGAATGTGCGAATGAATGTGAGTGCGAATGGTTGTCTGTCCCTGTGTGTTGGCCCTATGACAGACTGGCGACCTGTCCAGGGTGTACCCTGCCTCTCGCCCTATGACAGCTGGGATGGGCTCCAGCGCCCCCCGCGACCCTGAAAAGGATAAGCGGAAGCGGATGGATGGATGGATGGATACCAAGCTTGTTGTTGATGTTCTTGTAACTAATTCCAGCTTTTGTCTTTTCCCTGACGTCCTTTGAGAGCTTTGGTTTTGCCCATCATGGTGGAGAGGTTGATTCTGTGGACAGGTGTGGTTTCTACACATAAAGAGTTAAGATCAAAAGAGAACGGATGATTTATTGGAGTCAGAATTCAAATCAAATCATTTTATAATTTTGATGTAATGTGTTTTCTTCTGCATTTTTGGTTAATATTCGGTCTCTCTCCATTAAAATGAAACTACCATCATAATTAGAGGCTGTCCATTTCTATGTAAGTTAGCAGGTGTACAAATGTACAAAGTAGGGGATCAATTATTTATTTCCACCAACATAGTAAGATAGCGAGTTACTATAACTAAAAAGTTTTCTTCGTACTTTGTGTTGATAGTAAATTTCCCCTTAAATGGTGGTGTACATGTACAGCAGCAGAATTGAGTGTGTGCATTGTGACCATGAAAACTTGCAAATCTTCTCTGCCAAACAACTTAGTCTGCTGTTGAGCTTCTGGTACCCCGGGTGAAAGTCTGCTACCTGATTATTACTTGTCAATGACAAAACTGATCATTGACAATCATCCATCTGTTTTGAGTATTACCAACACAAATTACCATCTTAGTATGTTCATCACAATTTTCCAAAAACATATCAATATTCTTTGTGTTCGTTTGCGTTTTAATTCTTTACACAATCAGCAATAAACCCTTAAAATTTTAACCCAACTTCACCCAATTCAAAACAGGCTTATTACAGATTCCTGGTTTCCTTCCTTTTAGTTTGCAAGTTTTTATGTTCAACATGTCTGCCTGCTTTCCTAGAGACATGAAATATGTATATTTCCTTATCAATTACTGTCCATCAAATCTCATAACCTCTGTTTTCACTGTTTTTTTTTATTCAAAAAAATATTTGAATAATGGCTTGTCTACAGGCAGTTGTGTAAGTTTCCAGAGTTGACAAAAGAAATTAGCCTGTGCATAAAGATGGACATACAAATGAAACTAATTTAGGCAATAGATGTTCAAATTGCTTTCAAAGTAAATTATCTATAGGAGGTAAGCTCTTTAACTGTATTACCATTATAAAAAGAAATAAAAACTTGTTATTCAGTTTGTTTCTTGTAAAAAGGGAAACTCATCAATGACTCCTGCTAAGCTGATTAGGTATGAAGAAATTTCAATTATTTTTTTCCCTATTTTAATTAAACTCCCTCAACTACTTTTCTAAGTATCAGTAACCTGAAAATTTAAACCATAAATCCATACGGTTATGAGATATAACCACATCTCATACAGGCCCAGCCACCATAAGCACCTGAGAGATCTTGGAATTTGAAGCTGTTTATGTGTTATGGCAAGTTGTTTTCCAGATCGTCTTAACTATTCCAAACTATTCAGTGTCTTGTAAGCGATTGCCAACAAAACAACTTGCCAGCTCGTATAGAATGCCATTATAGTGTCAGTACTCCAACTCTGATCATACCTTAACAGTTTCCTGCTTCCTGGCCCTCCTAGTACCAACGTCAGGCTGCAAAGCTGCCATTGCTGGAAACTATGCAAATAAGCATGCAGAGATACCTGTGCTGCATGTTTAAATATCATGTAGTACACGTGGACAGCTGCATTACAGACAGGGGTGCACATGCTGGATATGCCTAAGATGCAAGATCTTCCTCTCCAATCTTGATTCATACTTAGACAGAAGGCTGCAACCTTGACATTTTATTCATTTTCCCTCGTTTAATACATTTTGGACAGTAGTTCAACAAGCTTGGTATATGCTACAAGTACCAGCAGAAAATTACCTTGTAGAAATGTTCTGTTATCTCAGATTTGTGAAGAACTGGTTTAAATGCTCCAAGATACATTGTACCAGAAAGCTTGTTGATTTACTGATTTGAGGCATTTGATGATCCTGACTATTCTGTTTGTAGATCCTACTATTTACTTTCCTTAACATGTTTTAAAGGGTCTAGTAGGACCTGCAGGTGTGCCAGGGCCAGCAGGACCAAAGGGAGAGACAGTGAGTAACTTTTTTTTTATTCTAAAAGATGCATCGAGTTTAAGATCAGGCGGCATGTACAGGTGATTGTTTCTGTCACAACTACAGGGTGAAAAGGGTGATCCTGGAATTCCAGGACCAACAGGGCCGCAAGGCATCCCCGTAAGTCCGTGTGTGTGTGTGTGTGTGTGTGTGTGTTCGGGGGGGGGGGGTTTAACATTGGTAACATTTTAATTTGAATTTTGCATCCTTCACAGCAATATGATTTACACATCAAAGGGTAGGGAGGTGAACTGTGCTGGTGAAAGATAAGATCAAGTACTATCTATACAGTACAATCCTAAAGAAGGCCATTTGTTCCTGCTATCAATGACACTGCAAGAGTTCAAAAAACAATTCATGCCAATGTTTGCATTTGTTACGCTTCAAACTCATGCGGCAGCTACACACTGCTGTCACAAACACATCTACTGGGGTTTCAGTTTTGTGTGGGACGATGCTTCAGTTTCATTTTCACTCACTGTTTGGTTAAATGTAAAGCTGTTTCAAAGCTGTTTAGTAAAGATATGGAAAAATGTTTGTGTGTATTAAAAGCGTATGGAATGAGTTTATTCAATATTAACACAGTGGCATCACTTTTTTTATGGAGAGTACTGTATTTGGCAAAATAACAACGGTGATAAAAACATGTGTCCTTATTCCCCAAACGCAGTCATAAGGCACAGTCCCCAATGTGACATCTGATTTCTTTTTACAGGGATTAGTAGGACCACAGGGACTCAAGGGAAATCAGGTAACATACTGTCTGCAGTGTTTGGCCTATTATAAAAATAAAGTAACTAACGTGATTGTGGCTGATCATCTGTGCACACACACATGTGTAATTTCATTTATTAAGTAGTTTATGTTGGTAAATATTATTACCACAGTTGGCATTTACATCCACAAAATTGTTGTTGAAATTTCTTTCTGAGAAACTCTGACAATGTTCTTTCTAATATATACAGATAATATCTGAATTTCAATAAATAAATGTTCTCTTTGATATTATGCATAAAAGTAAAGATCAGTGAGTCATAGTTTAGGCGAATTGTTTGGTTTGCAGTGGATTTGTTTTGAACCCAATGGTCACTTGGAGGCATCTCGATGTCAGGCTTACTGTTAAAACAGTCATAATCAATTTTAGTTCCAGTGCTAATGTTAAGCTATTCTAACAATATCCTCAGTGACATCCTCTAAAGCACCTTTGTTTTTAGTGGAACTAAAGATAAAAAACTGTTTTATGAATTAAAACATCGTTGTGTGCTGGCCACATACCCACCCCCTCAGAGAATGCCTGTTTCCTTCCCATTAACCTGTGACAATTAATATTTCCACTTCCATTTTGTTTTATCTTTGTGGGCTCTTTCAGCACATTCAACTGGCCACACTTCCAGTGTACACATACAGAAACCCAAACAATCCACCTAAATGTGAATATCCAGTTGAAAGTGTTGAAGCTGTGAGATTGTGTTGCTGTTTTTACTTTTTCCTATCTTCCTTTGTTTCCGCAGGTCTTCCTATCCCCTTTTCCTTCCCTTCACCTTGCTCTGTGGCCTGCAGCTCTTTTTATTGCTGGGATTGCCCTCTCTCCCTCTCACAAATTTTGGCCTTCTGTTCCTCCTCCTCCTGCATCCTAATGTAGTCTTGGGTTCCTTCTCTTACACTTACCTCTTAACTAGTCCTACTTAACAGTTGCTCTTCCTTGCAAGCATCCTTTAAGTCCCTCCAGCCCCTGAACCTTTAACCTGTAACTCGTCAGTGTTCTCTCATCACTGTAAAATGTGTCTACTCATTAGACGCTAGCACAACAAGATTTTTGCATTTCTGGGTTCATCTTTGTTTTTTAAACAGCTTGTACAAATCTAACTGTGATCAGTCTAAACCTTACACCAAATATTACCAGTGTCTTTACTGCAGGTGCTAAAAAAATACTACATCTGAAATAAACTGCTAAAAGCCCAAGCACTGGGTTTAATGGTATCCAGATGAGACGACAGAAACAAAAAAGACTGCAGAAAAAGTCATTTTCTGCTTAAAGTTACAGCATGAAACTCTTATCTCTTAATCCCTGCCTTTAGGAGCAGACACAGGTGACACAAACATTGACCTGAAGGTCCTTCTTTACCTTAGAATCAAAGTAAAGACTTTTAAGGCCTTAAATGCCTTGAAGCAGCTTGATTTAAATTGGAGCTACATAAAACTGAATTGACCTGAACTGAATCCACTTGATGAAGTCACGTAATCATTTTGAAATAGCTGCATGCCAAAGTAGCACATATAATGCAATTAAATAATGAAGACAATGGATTGATGTTCTTTATTTTGATATATATGTTGATATGGAGAAAGCATCAATCTGTTATTCTTGGTCTAACAGGGTGATAGGTTTGTTTGTTAAAAATGGTGCAGGTTTTAAGTTTAACCAAATACTTTTCCCCCTCCTGGTGTTAGATTGCTTTTTAACACCTAAATGTAGACTTCAGTTTGTAAATTTAGTCAATTTTTCCCGTAAAAGACAAAATTATTTATCAGGAATTGTCCACGATGCAAGAAAACAAACTATGCATCAAAATCCAACAGTTTCTTGACCCATCATGTTACTGTGACAAGTTTAAATGTCACTGTAGGCTGTAGTTCAGGAGTTAGAGCAGATCATCTACTACATCTACATCTGGGCAAGACACTAACGCCAAGTTGCTCTCTAATGCATCCTTGAGGGTAAGAATGTGTGTGAATGTTAGCTAGAAAGCACTTCAGTAGAAAAAAGTGCTTGTGTGAATGAGCCAAGCTGTGTAAGCTGTACGTGCACTGTTTCGTAGTGTGCATGTTGTCCCTGGTAGGAAACCTGCTCACCAACTGCAATGGCTTACTTTTTCCTGTTTCCTTCTACTCCCTCCCACTCTCCAGTGAATTTAGATCGCTAAATCATACAAAGAAAACTAGTGAATTAAAATGACGCTAAAATTTCTCATATCATCTGTTGCATATGTCAAAAAACAGCTATTGAAATCTTACAAACAAAAGCATTTGCTTCTACTGTGGTGTAGTAAGGAGGATTAAATTTGTTCTTTTTAATACACTGTTTGCAGGGAGAGAGGGGCAAGAAAGGCAACAGGGGGGCCAAAGGGGATAAGGGAGACCAAGGAGCACCTGGATTAGATGCCCCCTGTCCATTGGTATGTTAGTAGTTCTGTGTTTAGCCATGAGGCAAAGGGAAGAAGTGGCAAGTTACTCTCAGGACATGTCAGTTGGACAGCTTCCTTTTGCCTCATTTAATGTTTCTAATCAACCTCAGAGTGGTTTTGGTCCAGTGGTCCAGCTGTAGGTTATTTTGACAACGGGACTAGAATCAATATACATCCTCAAATCCCTCATCCATTCAAAAAACCAAAGGAGGAAGTGTAGGACATTATAATAATATCACACTATCACACCATGCGCAACTATCACTGCTGGTAATAATCATTTTCATAATCATAGTCATAATAATATATCTGTATCTTTCAAGTGGCATACTAAGGAGCAGTAATACTACATAAATGATCAATTAGGCATTACTAATACCTTAGTAATGCTTAATAGTGTGACATTATTATAAAGTACTACTGAAAAAGAAAGACATTCATGAGAACAAAGATGCTTGAGACTGGATCACAGCTATGATTGAGGAACTTTTCTTCCAGGTCCCAGACAGACAGGAAACAGGCAGCCACAGAGACACCAAAGTATTCCCACTCCACGCTGAGCTTTCTTCCTGCACCTTCACCTCTGCAGCTTTGTAGTAAAGAAAGTTAGACAGTTCAGCATAGACTAGCTATAGGCAAGAGCTTCTAATACTAAATCAAAATCAATAGCATACCTACTGTCAGATTTATCTCTGGTGTTATTTTATCCATTATGTCCATCAGCACTGTTGGCTCTGTTCTTCCAGCCATGGTGCACTGGTTGTTTTGAACAAGCAAAGCAATCAAAGACTGGGGAAGATGCTGATGGTCTGCTCTACTTGTACCAGTCAGATACTCTTAGTGAAATGTTAGAGAACATTAACCTCTGCATTAGAATCAGAGAAACCATTTCCTTGCAAGTCCATATCAGTGAGCCCGGTTCCTGTCAGTCTCAGGTTTCCTGCATGTTTAGGAAACTGAAGTCAGTGACATCGTGGAGAAACATCGAGATCTTCCTGGCATTAAGCAGTGGAGGGGAAACACTCTTCTGCTGCACGAGCTGCAAAACTCTTTTTTTTAAATGGCTGATTTCACAAACAGGGTTTCCGAGGCATTAAAGGGGAAAAAGGTGAACCGGGCTTGCCAGGCCTGGACGGGCTGGATGCCCCTTGCCCTGTGGTATGGTGCTCTTTCTTTCCCTTTACTAGCATGCCTTTAGCTACCCTTAACCACACTCCTCTTTATGGATCCTACAGTGCATCGCTGTAAACAACAATATGCACTTTTGCATGATAGTTTAAATTTATTGTAATCAACTCACTGCTTCCTCTACAATATGGTGAGACAACATAACATAATCAAGCGTGATTATAACGACTAAAAACCTTCGAAACATAACATCACGTACAATTGTGACTAATACACCAACCTCGGATCTAAAACCTTCACAGTGTTATTTTCAAATATAGTAATGCCTTTAGTCATGGTTTCTTACACTGTTTCTTGCATGGGGCACTATTCTTCCCTATCTACAAGGCAATAGACTACCACAGGGAGTGAAAACCAGCCACAGGGGCCAGTAGCCACCAGGTGCTATTTCCAAGCCCGGATACATGGGCAGGGTTGCATCAGAAGGGCATCCATTCTTTATGATCCACAAACATGTGGATTTAGTGTGTCCTCTACACAGGAGACTTGTTGATGGAATATAATCCTGGCTTAATTTTCATTTTCTAAAATATTTAAAAGTAGAATGGGAGGCAAAGCCTTCAAATTTCAGACCCCTCTTCTGTGGAACCAGCTCCCAGATTGGATTCGGGAGACAGAGAGGATATAGTAAGGGCTTTCTTACACTGCAATGGGTCTAGGCTACTTCCCATGATGCATGGAGTGTTTCAGTGTTTCTTGTTATCTCACCTTTTTCACTCTCTATGTGCTCACACACCGCTCTCAATCTAATTATTAGTTCTTATTAATCTCTGGCTGTCTTTCCCATCGTGTCTTATTTCTTTCCTGTCACCCCCAACTGATCCCGGCAGATGGCCGCCCCTCCCTGAGCCTGGTTCTACTGAAGGTTTCTTCCTGTTAAAAGGGAGTTTTTCCTTCCCACTGTCATCAAGTTCTTTCTAAAAGGGGGTTGTTTGATATTTGGGGTTTTCTATTATTGTAGGGTCTCTATCTTACAACACTAAGTCCCTTGGGGTGACTGCTGGTGATGAGGTTCATAACTGAATTGAATTAAATACAGGATAGTATTCAAGGGATAGGTTCAAGGTAGGGGTGAGATCATCAGTGATTGGCTCTGAGCCGCTTGTTATTTGCAGTGGTGATGGAAAGGTTGACAGGTGAGCAGGCAGGAGTCTGTCTCTGACTGTGATGATTGTAGACATGATCTACAGTGAGAGGAAGGATTTATTCACTGGAGGGAAAATACATGAATTCTCTAGTACTAAGTTGAAGTCCATGTATGTGAATGAGGGGAGACGGGTGAAAAAGAGTAAAGAAAAGAGATTTGCTAATCTGTTTACTTAATGTAGTCATGAATCTGTTAATCTGTAAAGCAAACTGATTAGGTCTTCTTGATTGCCTTTCCACAGGTAAGGCTTAGACTTTATTATAAAATCTACAGGGTGAGCCAGTTATATGGATACACCGTAATAACATGGGAATGGTTGGTCATATTAAAGTCCTGTTTGTGGCACATTAGTATATGTGAGGGGGCAAACTCCTCAAGATGGGTGGTGACCATGGTGGCCATTTAGAAGTCGGCCATCTTGGATACAACTTTTGTTTTTTCAATAGGAAGAGGGCCATGTGACACATCAAACTTATTGGTAATGTCACAAGAAAAACAATGGTGTGCTTGGTTTCAACGTAACTTTATTCTTTCATGAGTTATTTACAAGTTTCTGACCACTTATAAAATGTGTTCAATGTGCTGCCCATTGTGTTGGATTGTCAATGCAACCCTCTTCTCCCACTCTTCACACACTGATAGCAACACCGCAGGAGAAATGCCAGCACAGGCATCCAGTATCCGTAGTTTCAGGTGCTGCACATCTCGTATCTTCACACCATAGACAATTGCCTTCAGATGACCCCAAAGATAAAAGTCTAAGGGGGTCAGATCGGGAGACCTTGGGGGCCATTCAACTGGCCCACGACGACCAATCCACTTTCCAGGAAACTGTTCATCTAGGAATGCTCGGACCTGGCACCCATAATGTGGTGGTGCACCATCTTGCTGGAAAAACTCAGGGAACGTGCCAGCTTCAGTGCATAAAGAGGGAAACACATCATCATGTAGCAATTTCAAATATCCAGTGGCCTTGAGGTTTCCATTGATGAAGAATGGACCCACTATCGTTGTACCCCATATACCACACCAAACCATCACTTTTGTTGTTCCAACAGTCTTGGAGGGATCCATCCAATGTGGGTTAGTGTCAGACCAATAGCGGTGGTTTTGTTTGTTAACTTCACCATTCACATAAAAGTTTGCCTCATCACTGAACAAAATCTTCTGCGTGAACTGAGGGTCCTGTTCCAATTTTTGTTTTGCCCATTCTGCAAATTCTGTGCGCCGATCTGGGTCATCCTCGTTGAGATGCTGCAGTAGCTGGAGTTTGTAAGGGTGCCATTTGTGAGTAGCTAATATCTGCCGAAGGGATGTTCGACTAATGCCACTCTCCAGTGACATGCGGCGAGTGCTACGCTGTGGGCTCTTGCTGAATGAAGCTAGGACAGCCACTGATGTTTCTTCATTAGTTTTCTTGCGTCCACATTTTGGCAAATCCAACACTGAACCAGTTTCACGAAACTTAGCAAGCAGTTTGCTACTGTAGCATGGGAGATGGGTGGTCTCGTAGGGTGTCTTGTATTGAAATCTGCTGCAATGACCCGGTTACTGCGTTCACCAGATATCAACACAATTTCGATCCGCTCCTCACGTGTTAACCTCTTCGACATGTCAATGGCTGTGAACAAAGAGAAACTTGTAAATAACTCATGAAAGAATAAAGTTACGTTGAAACCAAGCACACCATTGTTTTTCTTGTGACATTACCAATAAGTTTGATGTGTCACATGGCCCTCTTCCTATTGAAAAAACAAAAGTTGTATCCAAGATGGCCGACTTCTAAATGGCCACCATGGTCACCACCCATCTTGAGGAGTTTGCCCCCTCACATATACTAATGTGCCACAAACAGGACTTTAATATCACCAACCATTCCCATGTTATTACGGTGTATCCATATAAATGGCCCACCCTGTATTATTCCTTTCACAGACTGACAACTGAAAAGGCTCAGTCTGAATCACAGCAGCCCGTGTGTTAAAGCAAATATATCTCTAAGTATAGAGGCACCTAAAATTCTTGGTTTTCCTTTTTGTGAAGGAGACATCAAAGTTTTATCTGTCACATACTTTTGGAAAAAAAATTGGGAATCGGTGAAATATTAGGTATGTCCCAATTCATAGGCCGCATCCTTCTGAGGCTGCATTTGTAGGCCTATTACGTCACAGCGACACAACAAGAGCTGTCCAAATTCGGCCCACGAAGACCGCAAAGGCCAGGTCCTCTGAAGGATGCGGCCTATGAATTGGGACATAGCTGTTGACTTTACCTGCTTATTGTAGCAAAAGTCTGTAAATGCCATAATATGCATGTTGTTGCTATGGTGATAGTGTTTTTCTGTACAACTTGCAACAGCTGTAGTCCCAGATTTCATCCTGAAAGGACACACAAATGTAATTTCATCAATGAAAACTGCAGAAATAAATACTGTTTGTACCATGTCAACATATCTCAGGTTGCTTCCGCTCTTCCAGCTGTATTTGTTTCATTAGCATTGATACAAACTCAGTGCTGACATTTATAATTCTTCACAGAATAGCTATTGTTCAGGTTTAAACTATTTAGATGTAATTATAGAGTCGTTTTCAGGCCTGAAGGAATCTACAAAATCTGCATGAGTTGCACTTGTAGAATGCTGGGTGGTCAAAATGTGTTTTTATTTTCATATAATTTTAAAATGATTCAATATACTGTCCATTGTTGCTTCTAATATTGTCTCTTTTTTACTCTACATGTTCCAGGGAGATGATGGTTTACCTGTACCTGGATGTTGGAATAAAGTACGTTTGTCACAGCATTGTGTTTTTGCCTGACATGCTAACTTCATGGGGAACATTGTGACCTAACAACTAACATTTTGCCTTTTGTTTTTCCTTGCAGTGACGATAACTTTGGAATGGCTTGTGTGATGTACATAGGATATTTATTTTTTTTACTTTTACTATTCTATTATACATGGAAAAAATAAATATATATGGCAATTTTGTACATATTGTTTATTTTAATAAATATGACGGTGTGTATGTAATGTTTTTTATATATCTATGCATTGTTTTATATGATTGGCTAAGAAAAATGATAATGTGGCTGAATTTGCATTTTGTGAAGAGAATAATGCTCTTTAACTTATTGCATTATGTTTTGCTCTGTTGTGATAGACCATGGTGCACTGGGATGTGGGGCTGGCAACATTTCTAATTTAGCCTTGGAAAGTCTTGGTTGAACTCTCCTCTGACAAAGTGTTGAAAACTATAATAATGAGAGCAAGCGCTGCATATAGACTAGTTTAAATTTTACTATATGTTCACACAGGGACAGGAAGCTATTTTAAATGTGCACTTTGAATTTTAGACTGTTGTGCTCATATTAAACCGAAGAACATGAAGACATAAGAGATCAATCTCATGTTTGTCCAGTAACTACTATACTGCAGTGTCACATATTCACTTCCAGCTTTCCTAGGCATGCTGACCACCACAACTCACACTGTAGGGGATACAGTGTGAGTAGATACAAGCTGAAAAAATGATAAATAACTCTAAATATGTTTTATATTTTAGATCCCACCCCTTGCCTCGCTGAAAGCCCTGCATACCCTTGGCCCTTGGCTCAATGAACTTCATGATGTAGTCACCTGAAATGGTTTCACTTCACAGGTGTGCCTTGTCAGGGTTCATTTGTGGAATTTCTTGCCTTCCTTATAAGGTTGGGACCATCGGTTGTGTTGTGCAGAAGTCAGGTTGGTGCATGGCTGACAGCTCTATTTGACAGAACCAATCAGTTAAGTAAAGAGAAACAACAGTCCATCATTACTTTAAGAACTGAAGGTCAGTCAGTCCGGAACATTGCTAAGACTCTGCAGTCGCAAAAACCATCAAGTACTATGATGAAACTGGCTCACATGAGGACCGCCCCAGGAAAGGCAGACCAAGAGTCCCCTCTACTGCTCGGGAAAGAAACACAAGGAATGGACCAGTGGAAATCTGTGCTTTTGTCTGATGAGTCCAAATTCAGGCACAATGAACCCGCATGGCTACCACAGCATCCTGCAGTGACATGCCATCCCATCATTTATTCTCTAACAGGACAATGACCCCAAACACACCTCTAGGCTGTGTCAGAGCTATTTGACCAATAAGGAGAGTGATGGAGTGCTGCACCAGATGGCCTGGCCTCCACAGTCACCTGACCCAAACCCAGTGGAGATGGTTTGGAATGAGATGGAGCACAGAGTGAAGGCAAAGAGGACCAACTAGTGCTCAGCATCTCTGGGAACTCCTTCAAGACTGTTGGGAAACCATTTCAGGTGACGACCTCATGAAGCTCATGGAGAGAACGGCAAGAGTGAGCAAAGCAGTAGTCAAAGCAAAGCGTGGCTGTTAGGAAGAATCTACAATATAAAAAAAGTTTTATTTAATACTATTTTGTTTACTATATAATTCCATATTATGTAGTAAACACAAAGGAGAGTGTAACTACCATGATGTCAGCCCGTGAGTTTTGACTCTGGGGATACTGTATTTGGAGTGTAAAATTATCAGCTAATCCTAGCAAGTTTTGGTGGGAAGCTGCATTTCGTGTCAGCAGTGTGCTGGCTTTTAGTGCTAAGTAAAGAACATCAATAAAATAGAATTTCACTCACCAAAACAGAAACAACAACTCTTGTAATATGTAACAAGCCATACTGTTTGTTAGAACAAGCTGCTTCACTTGTTTTTTGCTGTGTAGGATCTTAGTACCATTAGCAAGAATGCAATGCAGCTGCCATATATTTTATTAACTGTATGTTTCAAATCAAATTCTCTGCTTTCCTGCATATTATACATGTAGTTTCATATAGTTTAGAAGTGAGCTAAATGAGAGAGAAGCTGTGTATGGGACAATTAACCTGCAGAAGTTGACTCATGTTATAAGAAGTTTAACATTTTTAGAAGTTTAAAAAAGGGTGTACTCTAAAAGTATTATGTTATTAAATCGAGAAAATAGCTGTTCTGTCTCTTGCATACATACTGCTACAGTATGAAAAAGTATTTGACCTCTTTGTGATATTTATTTATGTATTTATTTTCATATTTCTCTGTAGGCGTGATCAGCCACAGTTGTCTGTATCAGCACACAAATCAAAGCAGCAACAACCATTTGGATAAGCCTTATTTATGTAAATTGAAGTTTTTGTAACTGGCTCTAAGATGTAAAATTGGTCATTTTAACAGTCGTTTTGTGGGGAATGATAAACCTTTAAGTCACAGTTTTTTGGCCGGTCTGTGTTGCCGTTCCTATTCAGCTGAAGAGGTCGCCCATTGCATTATATCCAGACCAAACTTTGCAAAGTGATGAGTTCATCAGTTAGGAGATCTAAACGTAGAGTGCTGTTAAACTGTTTTTAAGTTATCCAGTATTGCAAAGTGCTTTTAACACTTATGTCAAGAAAGAGGGCATCAACCAAGATTTTGTAACAATTTTAATTCCAAGAAGATTGATCCTGTAAACTAAATGTCCAATTGCACAACAGGAAAGTAACAGCTCTGTGTTGCTGCTTTGTGTTATTCCTCTACGTTTAGTTCATTCTAAATAGTTTTGTCAAATTCTCCTGTTTTATGACCCTTGGGTTCGGTATCCTAGTGCCGTTTTTTTTGTAGTATTCAGCCGAAACATTGCCACTCTCATTTAAGGCTGCTGCTGCTGCAATCTCCTCATAGTCTCATCCTGTTATGAAGAAAGCTGTAACCTTATTGGACAATGTACATCCTTTTTTTTTATTATTATCCACAAACACTTTTTGTAACAGCTGTTCTCAGTAACCTCATTAACAACAGTGAGCGGATGAAATGAATCCATTATATGCTGCTGCTCTTTGACAAAGCTTTGTGTGTGTTGTGCTCTGCCTGGATTTGATGTTGCCATTAGAGATTATTGTTGGATCCTTCCCAGCAAATATTCATTGTGTCATTTTGCTGCACCTAAATTAACTTAGTCACCAGTTAGCCTTGTTTTTGCTCTGATATTTATCATGCATACTTGTGCTCAGATATTTAAAATATTTATTTTGTTCAGTGACAATCATAATTAAGTTTACATTTATAATGATTTGGACTAAAAATAATTTAAGTGTACCCATTAGTTACAGAGTATCACAATCCAAATGGTAGACCCTGTTTAATCTGCGCTCTAGAGGATTGCATTGTTTTATGTTGTGAGGTTGTTGTTATGTCATTAACTTCAGTGCAATCCAGGTTTGAAGAGGTTTAAAACTGTATGTTAATAAAATACATGGCATTTTTTACTCAAATTCTATGCTGTCCTACATATTATAAATGTAGATTAGTATAGTTATCATCACAGACGGTAAAGAACCAGCCGCTGCACTTGTTTTTCCTGTAATGTTTGACACAGGTTAAAGGTAGCCCTTTGCCAGTAAAATAGGGAAAACTGCGTGAGCAAAAAAACAAACGGTATACTCTAAAAGTATTCAATTATTCAATCCAAAAAATTAGCTTTTCTACACTCTTACATACACAGTACTGTGAACAAGTATTTGCATCAAGGTATATTTTGTATAGAACTACAAATGTTTATGTCATCAAGTGTTTGCATTGACATGAGTCATATTTAATGCACGTTGGGCTCAGTGCAGATATACACTAAATTGCCAAAAGTATTTGCTCCACTGCCTACACACACATATATATGACCTTGAGTGACATCCCGTTTGTGGCGGGTGGGATTTGTGGTGTGGCTGCGGGGGAGACCGATACACTCGAGCTCAATCAGGTCATCATGCCTCCTCTGCATAAAAGACAAATGAACTGGGTCCTGACGTTGTTGTCGTGCAGCTGCAAAATTGCAGCCGAGTGTACAGAGAACAAGCAACCAGAATAAAAGAGTGTGTGAAAAGTGTTAAGATGTGGTCGAGTTCGTTGTTCCCATGCCACAACATTTTTAATCCATAGGGTTTAATATGATGCTTGCTAGCTTCTGCAGCTAAACAGCTTCAACTCTTCTGGGAAGGCTTTCCACAAGGATAAGATGTGTGTTTATATGAGTTTGTGATCATTCTACACAGAAGTGCATGTGTGAGATCAGACACTGACATTGCGGTCTTGCATTTGAGTTCACTGTCTCTGCTGTAATTCATCCCAGTGTTGTTCCATCGGCTTGAGGTCAGGACTTACTTTGTAAACTGGTGTGCAGTCATGTTGAAACAAGAAGGGGCCATCTCCCAACAATTCCCACAAAGTTAGGATAATTAAATTGTCCAGAATCTTTTGGTATACAGTGGTTCCTCGTTTATCGCGGGAGTTACATTCTTAAAATAACCCGCCATAGGTGAAATCCGCGAAGTAGCCAACTTTATTTTTTACAATTATTATAGATGTTTTTAAGGCTGTAAAACCCCTCACTACACACTTTATACACTTTTCTCAGACAGGCATGAACATTTTCACGCTTTCACTCTTCTTTAAACACTCTCAAAGTTCAAACCTTCGTAGAGAAGTAAGTCCAGTATTATAGAATGAAACCAAAGATCCAACCCTGTTTTCAGGTCCAACTACAAAGAAAGGAAATACAATCTATGTTTGTTTTCAACAGTGTCTTGCAAACAAGTTCAGGACACTAGGTAACACTGTAATATGCCCGGCGACTAACAGCATGATTCCTCTGTAATTAAAAGGAATTTCCATGTATTTTATTTGAAATTACAATGTAATTATATTTATATACACATAGAGTTAGACCTCTACAATAAGTAGGGAGCAAGTCAGGCTTTTATGGGAAACAAATAATTATACTATAAGTACATTTATTTAGTGCTTAGGAAATTGTGCAGTACTTAAAATTACTTAAGCATGAAATAAATATAATCTAGCAGCTAAATCTAGCCTAATTTTGAGATATTTTACAGGAAATAAGACAAAAATTATACTGTAAGTACTAAAACTATAGGAGAAATGTATATATGTATATATTGACTATTTAGCCACTTTTATGGCTGGAGTAAATCAGAACTTTAGCAGCAGGAAGTAGGGAAGAGATGTCCAGTACATAAGTTCAGTCGAAATGTTAATATTTCTGCTGCTCTGTTATTTTTATTAAAACTGTGCTCATGTTTAAAGGGTCAACATCCTTTCCAACTGGCAAAGAAGTAGCACTACTGCAGATGATCTCCCACAAGCCACCAAAAGGAAAACTTTGGATATAGTGTTTGCAGTTTTTACCCAGTTGGCTTTTCAACTTTTTCCTGCAGGCTGGGCACAGGGCTAGTAGTGTCAGAGACTCTGGTGGCTATGCTCTGCTGAACACAGTAACCTCAAAAAGACTGGATAGTAGAACATTTGCTCCATGGTGTAGTTGGTCATTGAAGTGTTTCTGGACAGAACAGCAATGCGACTATCACAACCACAGAGAGCTAGAGGTCGAGACTTTACCTGCTGATCTGTTCCACTGACTGATCTATTTATCACCTAAAAAAAGCATGGTCACTTGCAATGTGTTGTGTTTGATTTGAAATCATTACCGTAACTGTGATAAAGAATTCAGAGCAGCTCACAGAGCAGATATATGCCATGTGTTTCCATGAAAAACCAAAATGCAAAGGGAGACCCACTTGATGATTCCTTACTGATACTAGTTGACACACTGCCTTTTTAAAAAGAAAATCCCTTTAACTGCAGCTATGACCATTTTTGAATGATTGTGCTGTATGTATGATGTGTGATACCAGCATCGCACATCATGTTTGTTCTCATATATGATATTTTTTACTTTTTTGTATGAACGCCATGTTCACTGCTGTATATGTATGTATTGTACAAGATGAGAATTTAATGTATAAATGTACGTAGCGTGTAAATGGAGTGCATGAATTAAACATCTTTTAAGTAGTGAATATGCATCACAGTTCTGAAAGGGTGGTATTCATATCTTGACTAATGATTTCTTGAGAAATGTATAATTTGTAAAATACTTTGACCTATTGTTTACCAGAATTACATAATTTTAACATTTGCATCTTCCATATGTCCAGCCCCGTCACTTATTCTGGCTCAGAAAAGTCACATTTGTTACCCATTATATTGAATTGTAATTAATCTTTTTCCATCTAAAAACAACACAGCTTAAATCTTTTTGCTCATTTGTTACTGTACATTGAGATAGCATAAAATGACTTGTCAGCATTTCACCTTCCTGTTATTGTAGTTCAGATGTACAGAAGCATTCCATGTCATCCTGACAGCTGCCATGTAAACAGACTCGGGTCAAAGTCGTATTTTATTTTATGGGGATTTTTCAGTTTTGGAGTTCATTAGTAAAAGAATGATGTTTGATTTTTTTCATTGGGTACAAGTGCACCTGGAAAATTATATACTTATATTTATTAAAATTTAAAACAAAATTATGAATCACGTAGCTTCAATCAATATTATTTTAAACATAAATCATAAGTGTCAACACTACGGAAGCGTAGAGCTGCCATCCAGGCAAAAGAAAATTCGAGCTATATGACATTATAACATGGAAACTTTATTGTATATACTCACATTTGAACAACATAATATCACATATTAAAACATACATAATTATCACGTTATAACAAAAATGATAACTATATAAATTTTATATTGTAATAATGTGATAATATGTTGTTCAAATGTGAAAAGTATATTGTTAGAACAATAAACTTTTCACGTTATAATGTGATATGGCTCTATTTTTCATTTGCCTGGCTGGCAGCTCTATGCTTCTATGTAATGCAGCTTCAAAAAAAAAAAACAATACTAGTAAGGAAAAGACTTCTATCACATTTATTTCTTTTCTGACAGTGCTGTCTATGAAATAATGTTGTTGTTTCATTTAAATGGGTTAAATATCGTGTTTGTTTTCTTTGGTTGTCAAATAATGTTGTTTATTAGCTAATCATATGCTGTTTTGTTTATTTGATTTTTTTTTTTTTTTTGAATTGGTGTTTTATTTATTTAACTGTTTGTCTATTAGATCTGGATCTTTTGTCTAAAACTGCAAAAATGGACTTGGTGGAGGATGCAATCTCCAAATAACCTTCTGGTTGTGCAATGTATATTGTGTATTATATAATCAGTTTTATATGTTTAGTTGCATCATTGGTTTATCTGCTTATAAATCTAATTACATTTGTCCCTTAGCTGTACTTATTAAGGTTTTGTAGACATGCAGCCCCCATCCACATGATGCCCCAGTTATACAGGCCTTTGTACCAGTCACTGACCCCCCGACCACCACCTGTTGCTAGGGAAAATGTGTAATGCCCAACTAGTTTGCAAAACCAGTGGACTTATCTACAAGCTCTGGTTAGCTACTTTCCTAGCTGTAGTGAAACTATGAAGAGGGCAACACAAACAGGAAAGTTGTACCTCCACCCAGTAAGACAACAGTTTTCAGAAACCACTGCCAACCAGTCAGGAAACAAACATTTTCCTCTGGTAATTTGTGACTTTATCAAATCCAGTATCCAGCAGGAACTCTTTGGCAATATGTGCATTACTTAAGATGATACACTTCAATAACCTGATCACTTAAGCTGCAGTGTCCTGAGTTCTCAGCCATAAGGCAGAAGATATAATTGTTTGATGATTTGTTTAAAAGTACTTGTTCTAATTTATGTTACAGTTTTCAGCTGTGTTTTCTTTCAACTTGCTTTCAATATGTTTCCCCTTTTTTGTGCTGTAACAGATTTTGTATCTAAAAAATATTTAGCGCTTTCTGTTTTAAGCCTCTACATTTCTGTTTTTTGACTTTATCTGATTTTTTGTTTGCATGGTTTATTCAAAGTACCAATTTATTACTGATACGTTGTTGCAACAAAAGGCTAATGACTAATCTTATTGCAGGAATTTTTTTTATGCAACATAAGAACAATGTGAACATATACAATACAGGTTTTGATTAACCATCTGTAAGTTCTTCTAGAAAAGCTGAAAAGTAGTACTTTACATGATAAGTGCACAATGCAATTGTTGGCAAAGCTCTAACCCAGCAACATGTGTATGTAACATCTATGTGGTTGCTGGAGTCGATATAAAAGCCATTACAAGAACTCCAGGAAGCTTAGAGAAATTCACAGAATCCAAGTATTTCACAAAGGTGATCCAAGACATTGAAGTAGAGGTATTCATACTAAAAGTTTAAAGTTCTTTGATAATGACAATTCCCCACAGAGCTCTTTACATCAAGCCCTCACACATTCTGCGGTGGGTTTTTTCTTGCTGTCTATTTAAATTAATATATATTAATAGCTATTTTAAATGAATTGGTGCATAAACAGTTAATTTACTTCAAAGTATAATTCTTGATATATAATTTCTTTGATTTGAAAGTTTGAGACAGAGAGGAGGTGGGCATTAAATGTAGAATTTGCATGCTACTGTTTAGCCTGTTTATTTTTTTCTTATTTTGGTAATAGATCATTAGATGTACTGTCCATTTAATATTTTTCCCCAGCAAAGTTAAAAGATATGTGTCTGTGCTACCATGACACTAACCTGAATTGTGTCATGGTAGAAATTTCCGTGACACACAGCAATTTGTTAATTTAGGGTGGAGTCAGAAGAGAATGTTGATTTTGCTTTTGTTTTCCAGAGGAATGTTTTTCATTTTTATAATCCTAAAAATGGCAGCTGTTGTCACTGATTGACACAGATTCACTGTTCAATTCAGCGTCGAGGCAATTTGTCACTGACTCAGAATAAAGAATTTTACTTTAAATAGAATTATGTGTGTCTATGTATGGAGTCAACTTCTCTGAAGTAATAATTCAATTTTCAATTCAATTTATTTAGACAGCGCCAA